GTGTACAGTTTGTATAGAGCCTACGCTCTAAACAATCAAATTAGAGCCTGCCTTCAAATAGTATCGAGAAATGTGGTTTCAATACTGGAAATCTTTGTGATAGCCTTAAAATATATTTTTATCTTTATTTATAAAGTTTAAAGCTTCAAACATAATGCAGATCGACATATCTATGAAAACTTGAAAATCTTGAAAATTGACAGTCCAAAAACGTATTACAAAATCACTATTTCCAAAACTTGAAATCCATTTTTTTTCTCATGTCCATGCATCTTGATGTCGAGATGAACAGTTTGAGGATATTTGGGCATCAAACAACATCTTCTAGTGAAAGTTTTGAGGTAGGCTCAAATTTGATTGTTTAGAGCCTCGACTCTGTATAAACTTTTTCCTATATATATGTGTGTGTGCGTGTGTGTGTAGAAGATGCTACAAAACGCCTATAGGTGAAAATGAACAGTGATTTCGTCTACCCTTATCACCATCAAAACTTCATCGCATGGTCACAATTGTCCGATAATGTTTCATTTTTCATTTTTCTTTTTACTAATCGGAATGATCTGAAATTTGTCGTTCCAAATTTCAAATAATTTGTATTTGTAAAAAAAAAAAAATTGAAAATTGAAACACTATCGGACAACTGTGACCGTACGATGAAGTTTGGATGGTGATGGGATAGGTGAAATCACTGTTCATTTTTTCCTATAGGCGTTGGAAAGAGTTTTCCTATAGATATATAGAGACGAAATCATTGTTCATTTTCGCCTATAGGCGTTGGAAAGAGTTTTTCAATATATATATGAGCCCACTAGTCCCCTTTAGGTGTGTGTTCTTCTCATCAAGGCGCACCTAACAAAAATATAAAAACAATTATTCGTAAAAAATAAAATGATCAAAATACCCCCAAAAACTTTTCGGGGGTAATTTTGTCAATTTATTTCATGTAAAATATTTTTTGATATTTTTCAAAGATTCATCTATTTTTAAACACACGCCTACAATTTCAAGCGCT